GTTACTAGAAGCGATGCACTTGTTCCTAGTAGCGAACATTGTTACTACTAGGAGGAAAAACAAATTGCGCATGTCTGTTTTGTCATTCTCTTTCTTGCGCTGCCTACCTGGCAGCAGCTCCCCGGCACAGCTACGGCGACTGCTTTTGAGGCCCCGAGGAAGCACCGCCGTGCCCAGCGGAGCAAGGTGCCGCCTGGAGAGAGAAGGCTGAGAGGGGCGAGAAGGGCGGCACAAGGTGCCGCAGCATTTGACAGGAAAAAGAGCAGGTACACTGGACCGCCTATAGGCAATATGAGGTTCAGCACAGAAAACTTAAAAGCATGACACAGGTTATTGTGGGAGAAAGCCAAAAAGAACACATCACATGTCGGTTGCCACCGTGGCGGGAAGCAAAAACATCGGAATAAAGAGGGCATTCTATTAGCGACGGCCTCCAACCTACTAGCGATGGCCTACATGTAAAAGTGTTGAGACACGGATTGCTTACGCCGGGACTGGCCTGGAGCAACTTACAAGACAACGAAGGAATGAAAAACTAAATGTCAAGGATGAGGAAAAGCAAAAGAGAGATGAAAGTAAGAACGGCCTGCCGGCCTGAAAAGAAGAGGAAACACAACTGGAAACAAAAAAGTTTGTCTTACAACACGTGCAATTCGTGTTGAGTGACAAGGATTTCTGCCATCTGGGCAGCTCCCTGAGCTGAAGTTGAAACGCCTGCTTCGCACCACGCCAGACTCATAGGCTTTGGCACATTCCCGACAGACCTGAAGAGGAGCACGGCTTTGGCCCTTCCCAAGCCCAAAAGAAAATACGAGAAAAAGAAAAAACTAAACAAGTAGTTTGTATTTCCAAAAATATTCCAAAAACAACTCGATGTCCATTAAAAAAACACCGCAAAAGCTGGGTCTGGGTGTCAAACATCGAAGTCGCATTTGGGGCACCTGTAGCCCTTCGCAGAAAGTGCAGAGACTGCAGCATGTTACTAGTAGCGATGGCCTCCAACCTAATAGCATCCTTGTTCCTAGTAGCTTCTTGTTCCTAGTAGTAAGGCCAGGAGCCCCTAGTAGCGTCCGATCGCTCCTAGTAGCGATGCCCTTTGTTACTAGTAGTTTCTGGTTTACATTTGTCTTTGAGTTTGCCTCCCATATCCTGCGGCGGTCGCAGTCTGCATCACAGGTGTGGCAATTGGGAAAGCTGCCACACCAAAGCCTTACTTCACACAACACAAATCAACACAACACGCAACACAAATCAAAACGGCAGTTCTAAAGGTATGCTGCCGCGATGCCTTGCTTTCTTGGACTTCACTAGCTTCACTACTTGACAAACAGGGGTCTACAACCAAAACAAACAAGAATGGCTGCATGTTGTCATGTTGTTTTCTTTAAGGTTTTGCTGCTTATTTGTCACCACACAAACCACAATACATCTGGTCCGTGAGTCCATGGACGATTCCCATGCGTCATGACTTGGCAAAGCTGAGAGTCCTACAGCGGGTGATCATGGAGGTCTAAGCAGTATAAGGCCTGTTCGACACAGTGGTTTTGCAGTTTCGCAAAAAAAACGAAACAATGGGAATAACGCTGAATGGAAGACCACCACGAACCGTCTTGCTAGGAACCGAAAGCTAGGAAACACACGTCTTCAAACAGTTCCAGAAATAGAAAGAAAAACAGCATCTCTTTATGGGATGAGTAAGAAAACATTGTTGATAGTAGTGATGGGCGACAGTCCAACGCCTAAGGGGCCAAGGCGTTTTGAAAAAGAATCCAAACCAACATGTTTTTTTGGTCTTTGTTTTCCTGGTATTCTTTAAAGCACGTCCTTGATTTTTTCCCCTTTCTCAAAGGTTTTCTAAATTCCTTGATGAGTCGTGATTGCGCCGGCTCCACGGTGACTGGAAGGCCTCTGAGGGATCCGGCTGCAAGCATCGCAGGTTCCAGGTCTGACTCCTGCGGCAAAAAGCGTTGTAGCATATTTTGTCTTTTTGGATCAGACATCAAACGTTTGTCAACACGTTTTATCGGTTGTTAAGAATTTGTTCAACGAAGTCCCACCACAAGCAATGGATGGAAGGAAACAACCGAGCTTTTGCGGAGAGGCGCGTTCATCCAATTCTCTTGCGGCTTAGCAGCGACAAAAGTTCCGTGATTGTGGGGCTCAATTTTGGCTACGTGAAACACATGACTTCAAAAAACACAATTACAAATTAAACGACCACGTTATACCGCTGTACATGTATGTATACGTATGCATGAATACATAAAGGTCCTTAAACACATATACATATATATATATAGGTATCCGCTCACCCCAGCATAGCCTGACCTAAGCCGGGCGGCACCCGGCACACTAAGCGCTCTGTGATGGAAGTGAGCTGTGCCTGTGACGTGTACGCGGGTCTGTGTCACTTCCTTATCATCGCAGGGCACACTGACGTTATTGTTTTCCTCAAGGCTCAATGAATATCGCTCCAGACATAAAAGACACTAGCTGCCTGCGACACTGTGGCGTACGTGCTGCTAGTCATGGATTTTGGGGCGGTTGCGGATGCTTTTCATGGTGGAGGAGGACTTCGTCCCAAAGACCAGGCGCTGTGCTAAGTTTGGGGAAGACAGACTCTCCAGTGCAAACCGCAGCAACCACCCTGCGCAATATTTTTCCTTTCAAGGCAAACTCTCAAGTCCAGAAAAGCTTTGAAGTGAATCTGATGATCTGCACTTTTATCTTATTAGATTGACTAGCGCTCTCGCACTTTCTAAAACATTTGCCCTGAAACGTTTCAAGTCTCCCCCGGCGTGGTTGGTCAGTGACGATGACCCCGCACAAGCGCCGATGCAGCAACGCTTTGGAATGGAACCCCCCAGCCACGGTTCCGTATCAAGCAGCAAGGTCAAAACTATTACCAACCATGTCGGGTAAGGAAGCCAGGAAGTTCACAGTCTATACTCCAAAAGCGTGCGCTAATTTCGGAGGCTTCTACAGAAGTCTGTACAAGGACCCGTTAAGACGCGCAAGGCCGACCGAGGTAACGCTTCGTGGGTTGTTCGCCTCGCCCGGGTCCGGATGGCTCTTAGGAATTCTCTGAAGGCGCAAGCATCCCAGGCCAACGATGTCTTTGCAACTGAAGCGTGATGCAAGCGAGGCGACGCAACCTGGGGCTGCTTGAAATCTGTCGCGGGAGACGCAGGGAGTTGGCGACTGAAAAACAGCACATTCACAAGAAGCCTTTGCTCTAGGTTTTGTTCTATTTCTTACGCGTCTCCTCTCGCAACTGCAAAAGATCAGCTTGCGCACTCTTTTTACTTTGGCTGCTACCAGAGGCATTTTCTTGAAGCCTAAGATCCGCCACCGCGCTTTTGCCCAGGCTCTCCGGGACTCTTGTCGCGCGGCCACCGCTTTGTCTCCCAGGCCAAGAGTTTTGCCCCCACGATTCTTGCAAAAAGCGCCATATCGTCGCAGCTCACACCTAGATGACACAATCGTGAACGTCACATTTCTAATTAGACAGGCCCTGCTATAGTGGATTTCGGTTGCCTCAGCCCGTGGTTACGTTAAGTCGGGCAGTGTCTTCCCCTTTGTGACAAAATTCAAGCTGGAAGTGGGACAAGAAGTCTGAGGAACATGTGTTCCTCTTTATGCTTCTCCTTTGGAGCACTTTTGCTTCATTTTTTGGCTGATTTGTTTTGCTCAAACGTTGGATCCCCTTTGTGAAACAATCAAATGCTAAAGTTGTTGATTTTCTTCGCGTTTGTTGCCATTTGATTTTTGGTTCTACATGTTTACTTTTCAGTTCAATTTAAGTATTCTGGAGCACTTTTTGTTTCATTTTTTAAGGACAACAATATTGTTTGGTGAAAATGAAAATACAAACCATTTCTACCTAAGTCTTAAAGGGCCAACCCACAGGGCCAATCGTGCACATGGTGATCAACAATATTAGCTTTGACCCACACCTGGGGGCACTCGAAAGCAGAAATAGCCACTTTTTCCAAGAGGTTCACGGTGTGGCATCATCTGTCCCATTCGCCATATCATTCATCATCCTCCTGATCAGAATACCCGCTGTCAGAGCTAGTGAAACCACTGAGGCTCGTCAAATGGAATGAAACATAGGAGCAAGTCGAATCATCAGGTGGAGGACGATCTCAACGACAACTCTGACATAGGCCCCTTCGAAAAGCTGCACTGGCATATCCCATGTGTACATTCTTGCGTTTTTGCAAGTCGCCAAGATGTATCTTGCAATCAGGCACCATTTGATTGAGCAGCTGTAAGGCAGTAAGAGTCTCCCATGTCACCACAACAAAAGTCCCGCGAAGGCGTCAGCATATCGACCAAAATCGGTATATATTGGTCTCCTCGCGCTGGACTCACAATCAAAGTAGGCCGTCTACTACATTGACCACACGGGGGCAAAGGCCGAACATTGTAGGCAAAGATTTCATCATGTCGGTTGACATGCGTATCCCGATGCGGCTGCATCAGGACACTGACAGAACCATGTGCATTCCACCTTACAATATGGCAAACAGTAGAAAACACATCAATCAGAGCTTGAGGGTGGCTCCACACTGCCAACTCGATCGGTCGCTATGGTCCAGCTGCGTTGAAGACGTATGCAGTTGCGGCGTCAACAACTGCTCCAAACTGCATGACTGACGAAACATCATCTCGATCACTGCCAGCTAGTTTCAGCAGCAGCAAAATGCCAATCCATCGTATGGACGTGACATGGCTGAACCTAAACTAAAACTAGATTGAGTTGAAAGATTTTTGGGCGCTGTCAGTTTCATCCGACTCTGCTGAGTTCAGCCTTCAGTGTTCCTTTCTAAATTGTGAATAAGATGGTTCTTGGAGGTCCTGCACAAGACTTTCGCTTATCGTTTCACTCCATTCCCACGAATTGATGCAAGATCTTAATCCCACGTCAACAACGAGTCCTGAAGAAGAGAAATAATGGCTACTGTCCGCTGCAGCGTAATTAGTCATTGGCCAAGCCATCCAAGTTATTTCAATCTCTGAGGCCTGATCTGATCTTGACAAGACCCTGGATCCTCAATGACATTCGACGCGTTTGACACCTTATTGGGGTTCTCCCACCCATTGAACTGTCAAGTCCTGAGGAGAGCTGAGCTTTCCCTTCCTCAGATACGTGGGTGGCAGGAGCTATCAAGAATTAAAAAGCGCCATGGTCACTGGATGCAACCTGCAATGAAGACCTGTTGAACTGTTGAACTGTCATAAGCAGAAAGTGGCTGTAAAGCTGGAGGAGCCCTCCCCACTTCACTCCTAGTCTTTGCCCTCAGAAGCCCTGAGCTCCGGACGTCGCCCTCAGCTCATGAGGCACAGTGAAGGGACAAGCCTTCTTCACCATGGCAGGATGGCTAGCTGGCTGCGGAAAGTAGCGAACACGCGCCCAACCGGCAACGCCGGTCTGCGAAGTTCTACAATCTATATATGCGTGCTATGATCCCTCGAAACAAAGAACAAAATATATATATATACATATATCAAGGTCAAATGACTATACACTGGCCTCACTACACGAGTTATCACTCGCCACAGATCTCAGTCTACAGTCCCGACCATCTATCGGGACCACCTCGAGTACCACCTCAACCTTATTGGTCCTGACCGTACGCTGATTTTGGAAGCCAAAACACTGATTCTGGCAGCGCGACACTGATTCCAAATGCTGATTTGCTACACCAGAAACTGACGCGGCATGTATCCACAAGCTGAGTTGTCCTATCTTTCTTTTAACTCTTCATGCTTGCCTCTGGCTCCAAGCCCTATCCTGGACATTGTGGTTGTAAAGTATAACCTACCAACACCTGTCAACCTTCAGTTACAACTCATTCCAAATTAGTTACTTTCTTTGATGAGATTGTTCCCTGCTACTAGTCAGTTTCTCCTCTTCTTGTTGAGCCGTTCCTGCGCTAGATTGATTTGCAACTCTCTTATTTGGTTCTGAGGGGCTTTTAGCTTTGCCTAGTCGCTTTTCTTTTGTTTGCTTAACTCTGTCTATTCAAAGACTGTACTGCAAGTCTTTTGAAGAATACTCAGAATGAAGTTAAGGACACGTGATTTAAGAATAGAAGATGTTGGGCCAGATTCAATGCGAGAAAAACAATTGTTGTTGTTGTTGTTGTTCTTATTCTTCTGCCTTCTTCTTCCTTATTTTTCTTCCTTCTTCTTCTTCTTCTCCTTCTTCTTTCTGCTTCTGCTTCTGCTTCTGCTTTTGCTTCTGCTTTTGCTTCTGCTGCTTCTTCTGCTTCTTCTTGTTTCTGCGTCTGCTTCTGCGGCTTCTTCTTATTACTATTCTTCTTTTTTCTGCTTCTGCTTCTGCTTCTGCTTCTGCTTCTGCTTTTGCTTCTGCTGCTTCTTCTGCTTCTTCTTCTTCTTGTTTCTGCTTCTGCTTCTGCGGCTTCTTCTTCTTCTTATTCTTATTTTTCTTCTTTTTTCTGCTTCTGTTTCTGCTTCTACTTCTTCTTCTTCTTCAGCCCTTCCAACTTATACACTCAGTTTGAAAAGCTCTTCCTGGTCTGAATCGGCATTTCGTTAATTGTTCAGTAGCTCTTGTATTTCTTGTGTATCTCCTTCGCAGCTTTTCCTCTTCTCAAACGATGTCCTTTGTATCAATAGCTTAGGAGCTGGATCAGAAGCAGAAAGTCCACGTGAGAAATCTAGGAAGCCGTTGAGAATGAGGATAGCTAGCCCAAAGAATACAGTTAAAATGAGATGAAACAGAGGAAGGCATTATTCATTTTATATACAATCGAGACTGCAAAGAACTGTATAAAGACGCTAATCAATCATGGAAGGACAAACGTTAACGAGAAAGAATCAAACAATGGAGGAGTAGCTGAGTAGCTCTTGAATGGCCTGTGCAGCTAATCCAAGTGAGGAAACAAAAATACAATAGAAGGAATCAGAGCTGACATCTTGAACCTAAGATCCTCTGCTTCGACTGCTTTGTGAGGTGTCCAATATTGCACAAACCCAGTGTGGCCATTCAGGATTCTGGATTGTCCAAATTTACATGGCATTTACATGGCTCATCTGGCTTCCCCAAAAATCACTCTCCAAACATGATCCAAAAATCTCATCAAAATGTGGTCAAAGCACTGCAAATGGCCTCCGACCTAATTGCGATGGCCTCCAACCTAATAGCACAGAAAATACCCAAGGAATGTGGTCAAAGAGAACCGAAAAAGAAAAGTGAAAATGGCCCTTTCTGTCGCTTCGCTCGCTACGCTCGCTTCGCTCGAACGGCTTCTCCTGTGAGAAATTGCAGGACAAACCACGTCGCCCACGGAAGGCCCGCGGATCGCCACCAACGAGGCGACTTCGCCCAAGCTTTGGGTCATAGCCTCGGCCTTGGAGACGAGAAGCCGATGCAACGAGATGGCCTTTTTCGATGCAAAAAGAGGCGTCGATGCTTCCCTTTGAAAGAAGCCTTTGTTCCTAGTAGCTTCTTGTTACTAGTAGCTTCCAGGAGCCCCTAGTAGCGACGCCCTTTGTTACGAGTAGCGAATCTTGTCGAACTGTGCTCTTTTCGCGAGTGCATCGAACTTCACTCGAAGCGTCACCGGGACGGATTTTGTGGGCCAGAGGAGTAGCAATGTTCGCTACTAGTAACAAGTGCATCGCTACTAGTAACAAGTGCCTTTCTAGTAGTAAGAAGAAGCTACTAGGAACAAGTGCCACGCTAGTAGTAACAGGTGCCTTACTACTAGTAACAAGAAGCTACTAGTAACTAGCTAGAAGCTAGTAGGATGAAGGCAATTGAGCTGAACAATGCCACTCTAGAGTCTAGAGAACTAGAAGAAGTAGGTCCTTACAATCACCCAACAACACTTGAAGCTATGTCTGGCCAAAAGCAGATGCGCAGATGGCACACCGGCAATTCCATGGAGAGAAGCTTGGATCGCAAGCTCTTGAAATCGGCCGGTTTCTTGGCTTCGTCTGCGTCTTCTCGAGACCCTAGCTTCTCCGCAAGGAGTGACACGATCTTGTCCGGTCCTTCTTGATCTTGTCTTCTCGTCTCCCTGAATTAAGCGTCTAACTCATCTAGCTCCTGACAGCAAGAAGCTACTAGTAGCTCCTGGCATCGCTACTAGGAACCTGGGCATCGCTACTAGTAACAAGAAGCTACTAGTAGCTAGAAGCTAGTAGGTTGGGGGCCATCGGCTCACAAAAAGGACCGTTGAACGTCGCATTTCTTTGGTCCCATCAAATCGACAGGCTTTGTTTGATACCGGTGGTTTCTGGTGTATCTCCAAAAGAACCAGAATCCACCAGCGCTGAATTCCGATGAAACATGAAGGAATACCCCGGCTTATCTGAATCATTCAACTTGCGATTCGCCTTCAGATATTGAAGCAACAAACATAGTACCTCATGCAGACACACAAACATGGTGGAGCAGGTTGAGCTAATTGTTACAGTTGCCTCTGCTTAAACAAATGAGCTGCGCTTTGAGCTCTGTCGGGATCACTTCGGGAAGCGAAAGAGGAGTGACAAACACATGGTGGTAACAAATAAGCACAATGTCACCTCTCGTGATAAAACGTTTTGGTCTGACAAAACACGATGAACTCGTGCGACAATCCTGCAAGCTTCCTGAAGTCTAAGAGTTGTCAGCTTCCTTCTCATCCAACTCAAGTTTCCTGGCCTCAGCGTTCATTCCTTAAAGAGACTTTCTGTTCATAAAGAGAAATCAAATGGTCTAAAGAATATACCTTTTATTTCCTTTCTTAGGCAACATTCTTGGCTTCAAGGAATTGGACTTGGATCCCCACCCAGGGAAGTGCTGGCATGCCTCAAAAAGCACTCCGTTTTAGAATGCTTGTGTTACCGATGTTTGGAATGTGTTTATTCCTTTTCTTTCTTCTTTGTTTCTATTAGCGATGGCCTCCAACCTACTAGCGACCTACTAGCGACCTACTAGCGATGGCCTTCAACCTACTAGCCATAAAGGTTTGTGAGGCTTCTTGAGTAGGTCACGTTTTCCAGGCTCTTGAGGCTTCTTGGGCCTCTGCGTGTCAGTGACCCAGGTCTGGGGAGCCTTCGCATCGGCCTTCGTCGAAGACTCTATAACTTACACTCGAGACTCTAACAAGACTCAATCAAGAACACTATTAGAGACCACAGTTCTTATATGTTCTTATGACTCTTTTATAGATGTTTCCGTTTTGTGCAGTTCCTTTTCTTCCTCTTGGTTAGTCAAGTTCAAGACTCCAAGACTGCTGGAAAGGTCGTGTGTTTTGAGCTGATTGCTGATTCGTCCTGAGGCCACCTACAAGGCTGATGGGAACCAAGGCATTTGACCTAAGGCTTCAATAGTAATGCCCTTGTTACTAGTAGCGATGCCCTTGCTACTAGCAGTAAGGCAGCTGATGGTTTCAGCATTGCCACGTGCCAAAATCTGCTGCATTCTGGGCTCCAAACCGTTGAGTGGTCTGAGTGGACGGGAGAGCACCTATCACTGCCGACGAGAAGTGGAAAGACACAAAGGCAAAAGGTATCCATGTGTTTAAAAATAGAAAAAAGAAAAACACATGAAAAGGAAGAATGGCCTAGAGAAAACAAATATATAGATATTTATATAGAGAGAGAGAGAGAGAGTTTTTTGACCATGACCTTTGGTGCAATCACTTGGAACGGCCTCTCGAGCATCTGCAGAGGCTGCACGCCGAGGCCCTCGCAGTGTCGCAATTGGCTGGTAATTGAGAGATGCTGAACAAATGCGCACAAACCTAATCGGAGGGGCACCACTTCATACAGCAGGAAAGAAGATTAACTGTAACCTCTTTTGCAGCTCTCCCATATCACTCCTCCAACCTAAGAGCGCTGGACTCCAACTACTAGCTATGGCCTCCAGCCTGATATCCTCTTTTGCAGTTCTTCCATAAAACTTAAGATTCTCGAGACATGGACCCAGCTTATGTTTTCATTTCGTGTCGGAACCAAGAGTGGCAACATGTGACAGCCCATTGTTTTTAGCCAAACCTACAAGCGTTGTAACACGTTGTCGTGCTCTTTAGAGTCTGTTCTTGATCGTTGTTGCCCATGTCTACGTGCTCGAGAACCGTAGGAAATGGTCTGATTCGGGATGATCTCTCCAAGCTCAGGCTTTTTTCGTAGGAAATGAAATGGTTCTTTGAGCATGTGCTTGCACACCTATGCCATGCCTCCAGGTCTAGACTGACATGGGCAAGGTCCGGTCAGAGATGGTTTCTATGCAACACGAGGAATATGCCCAGATGAACCGGGTGCTTTGCACTTTGGCTCTCTGAGCTCAGCTGATGCACCATTTCGCACGAGACCGGGGATGGGCGAGATATGTCTGACTTTGCCCACGGACCCGAGATCCTCCAACCTAATAGCGATAGCCCGAGAATATACGAGATACAAGAGGCAGAAAAGAATCAGAAGTTTCCCCAGCTCCGAAGTGTCTGTGAAGCGCCTTGGGTGTTTGGGGTTAGCCGAGGCAAGCCCCGGAAGAGGCGGAACTCCTGACTCCAAAAGGTGGGACTCACATCTATAGGTCAAAGAAAAATGAAAGATGACCTCCAACCTAATAGAAAAGTAAACTAAGTAAAAAGTACAAAGAAAGAAGTATACTAGTAGTAACAAGAAGCTACTAGGAACAAGTGCATCGCTTCTAGTAACAAGTGCCTTACTAGTAACAATGTTTGCTATTAGAAACATGTGTCTCCCATAAACCATGTGAGAAAAGTGTAAAACAAATCACTCCAATGCGTCCTGTCGGGGAGGCTCTGACCGCCGGCGGGGCTCAGAGCGCCGAGGGAGTGGTTCACCTGCAGTCGCTGTCTTCTTGATCTTCACTTGTTTACTAGTGAAACATTGTTACTACTAGTAAGGCACCTGTTACTACTAGCGTGGCACTTGTTCCTAGTAG